AGTAACTTGTCTGTTCCCCTTCCCCCAATTCCCCAGCACTGTTCCCATCCCCTAATTCCCCAATAAAAATCTTTAAAAAGAACTAGGCAGGTGTGTGTTAGTTGCTGCACAGAAATATCCCACATATGTGAGTAAAAGAACAAGGTGTAAAATATGGACATGTATAATGATCCTTTTGGGATATCTATATAAAGCGTGTGTGCCTGTGTGTGTGTACTTGGACTCTTCATATTCTCTCTCTATAGAATCATGTAGAGAGAATGTTATAGAATCTATATAAATAAAGAGAATCATATACAAGGATGGAAATATTTGCAGGTATGGAGGTATACTTTCTTTCTGGAATAATCACTAGAAAGAGAACAGTAGGCAGAGAGACTAGAGATAGTGGAAGGAAGCTTTCAAATTCATTTGTTTGAATGTTTGTTTTTACTTTCCATTTTGAACCTTTCTGTGCTGTTAAAATATCCCTCAACTATTTGAATTTTCTTTTTAAGTCAACTGGAGTTATCTGCACAGTAAAATTATTGGCCCTTTTCAAGCCTTTATACTTTTTAATGTCAGAGTTCTGTTAAATAAATGCCCATACTCCTCCACAAAGTAGGAAAGGCAGCCATCATTATCCTGGTTAGGAAGATCCCTGATCAGCCAGCCATTAGGATACAGGAAGAGGACCCAGCTCAGCTGCCCTCATGGGACCTAGTTCCCTCTTGTTGTCTGTTTAGGGTGACTATGTAATTATCGTCCAAACTGAGACATGTTTTCAAGAAAAAAGGGGTGTGAACTACACAGGATGATGGAAAACAGGCAATAGTAGAGAATGTTCTGGGCGCTTACTGGACATTTGATTTGTCATATGCAGGTTTGCAATCTTTTTACTACTCCTAAAAATATTTCCCTGTGATTGCTCATTGCTGTCTGTTTTGTTTTTTGTTGTAGCAAAATCTGTTAAGGTGAAAATCAAGCTCAATAAAAAAGATGAGAAAGGTCGGGACAAAGGAAAAGGCAAGAAAAGGCCAAATCGAGGAAAAGCCAAACCTGTCGTGAGCGATTTTGACAGTGACGAAGAACAGGATGAAAATGTAAGTGGAGCAGGCTTTGACTGAAGCCGGGGAGCCCTCTCTGCTTCTGTTTTCTTCTCATATTGCCATGTCCTTTCCAATCTTTTCACTTTAATACCTAGAAAAGAAAATGTAAAGATTTGGTGACATTTCATTTTTGAGGATGTGAACTGAGCTGCATGATTTAGAACAAGGAATTTTGGGCTTTGTTTATTGCTTTTTTTTAATAGTCTTCAAAGATGAAAGACACTAAATCAAGTTTCCTTTTCCTCTTTCTTATCGTCCCACTGTTTCCTTACAGGTACACTTTTCTTCATGGTCAGTTAATGGTTTTTATTTATAACACCCAGCATAGTGCCTAACATATAGTGTATAGAGATGAAATGATGATTAGATGGAAGAATAAGAAAAAATTGTTAGGATTTCAGAGTTTTTGGTTTGAGTTGATTTTAAGATACCATACAAAAAACCCCAATGGATTTTTAAGCACTAGAGGTGTTATTTTTGATACGAGGTTAGACAATTAAGTTCGCGGACTCTCCTAGAAAAAGTGCTCCATACCTCATTACTGAATATCACTACAGTCCTCATTACTGAATATCACTACAGTCACCTTCGAAGGACTCCCCTTGGGAAGCTATGCACCCGACACCAGCCTAGTCCACCTTTCAAAGCAATTTAGGATCTCTTTTTCTGGAATGGCCATCAGAACTGTCGTAATACCCTTGATGTCCTGAATGTCATCCAGATGTCTTCCTTTCAGTATTTCCTTTATCTTTGGGGAAAGAAAGAAGTCATTGGGGGTCAGATCAGGTGAGTAGGGAGGGTGTTCCAATACAGTGATTTGTTTACTGGCTAAAAACTCCCTCACAGACAGTGCCATGTGAGCTGGTGCATTGTCGTGATACAAGAGCCATGAATTGTTGGTGAAAAGTTCCGGTTGTCTACATTTTTCACGCAGCCTTTTCAGCTCTTCCAAATAGTAAACTTGGTTAACTGTTTGTCTAGTTGGTACAAATTCATAATGAAGAATCCCTCTGATATCAAAAAAAGGTTAGCAACATCGCTGCAACAAGTTCGCGAACTTAATTGTCAGGCCTCGTATATACTGTAATGCGATATAGTACCATCCCATATGGTACTATATTTAATGCTTCTATCAGCATCTCAACATAATACAAAAATCAATGCTTAAGTCATATGTGTTTTGCTCTAGGACATGTAAGTAGATCCCAGAGGCTGAATTCAGATTCAGATAGCCTAACTCAGTCTAGTGCACTATCCCTGGCGGTGTGGGCATCAAAGCAGCAAAGCTGGCAGAAACTTCTAACACCTTCCCTTTTGACGTGCCCTCCATTTCATTCACTTTTCAGAGGACCTCAGGTTTCCTCCCACCCACTCCCTACTTTTTTCTTTCTGGAAAGTTAATTTTCCATTTTATTATGTATGCTAGTTTGATTTTCTTTCAACACATTGCCATTTGGGTCTGATGAAAAAGTTTCAGAATTCTTATCTCACCCCACGCAGACTTAACCCTTGACACAAGCATTTTCTAATACATTGAAAATGTATTAGAAATGTAAAATGTATTAATTAGTCTACTGTATTTTCTTCAGTAGACTTACCAGGGAGTAGATATCAAATGCATGGTATTCTTTTCTCCCCTGAATGGTCTAAAACAGAGCTAAAAATAGAAAGTATTAGCTGTAAACCTTTTATGCCAACGTGAAAGAGAGTAAAGCACTGGCATAGAGGGTGGGAATTGCCAGGGATTTTCAATTAGGATCACCCCTTTCAGCTTAGAGGCTGTTGCTGCCTCTTCAGCATCTTTACATCTTCTCACAGAGTGAAGAGGCTTGGAGGGTTAACTGTTTCCAAAATGTCATTTCTTCATTGCCTCTTGATGGTTTATGTCTTCTTTTTCTTGTATGTAACTTGATTCCATTTTATCTTCATTTTACTTTTAGGAACAGTCAGAAGCAAGTGGGACTGATGATGAGTGATCAGTATGGACGTTTTTTTTCTTGGTAGAACTGAATTCCTTCCTCCCTTCTCTCATTTCTACCCAGTGAGTTCATTTGTCATATGGGCACTGGGTTGTTTCTATATCGTCATCATCTATAAACTAGCTTTAGGATAGCGCCAGACAAACATATGATATCATGGTGTAAAAAAAAAAAAAAAACAAAAAACATGCGCACATACAAATATTTGTAACATATTGTGACCAAATGGGCCTCAAAGATTCAAAGATTAAAACAAAACAAAGCTTTTGATGGAAAATATGTGGGTGGATAGTATATTTCTATGGGTGGGTCTAATTTGGTAACGGTTTGATTGTGCCTGGTTTTATCACCTGTTCAGATGAGATTTTTGTCTTTTTGTAGCACTGATAACCAGGAGAAGCCATTAAAAGCCACTGGTTATTTTATTTTTCATCAGGCAATTTTCAAGGTTTTTATTTGTTCGGTATTGCTTTTTTTACACTGTGGTACATATAAGCAACTTTAATAGGTGATTAATGTACAGTAGTTAGACTTCACCTGCATAGACATTTTTCCATTTTATGCTCTATGATCTGAAAAAAAATGCTTTTTGAATTGTATAAGATTTATGTCTACTGTAAACATTGCTTAATTTTTTTGCTCTTGATTAAAAAAAAAGATTTTGTTGAAAACGCTATTGAATATTGCAGTCTATATAGTGCATTGGATGGCTTTTTTTGTCAACCTGATCTCCTATGTTACCAATGTGTGTCGTCTCCTTCTCCCTAAAGTGTACTTAATCTTTGCTTTCTTTGCACAATGTCTTTGGTTGCAAGTCATAAGCCTGAGGCAAATAAAATTCCAGTAATTTCCAAGAATGTGGTGTTGGTGCTTTCCTAATAAAGAGGTAAGTTAGCTCAACAAACGTTGCTTCTTGTTTTTGAGTTCTAGAGGACTGAAATCCTGGTGCCTGAGTGACAGCCTCCTGCAGAGGGCTAGATAGGCTTTTGCTACAGAACACTTGGTAGGGGAAAAAAGATTGAGGAGAGATAGCCAATGTTCTGAAATGAACCAGGTGTCACAAGGGAGAGGAGTCTATTACTCTGGTGACTTTAAACAACAGCAGAGATACTGCCATGAGCCAACCCATGCTACGCTCCTCCTCGGGCTTTTCTAGTGGTTTCAACTCTGTTTACTAGGCAGAAACTCTTGCTTTATTTTCCTCCCAAGTCAATAGAAGTTAAACTTATTTTAAACATTTTCCTCTAAGAATGCTTATTTTCTTTGTCATAATAAAAAATATATATATGTGTATGTGTGTGTGTGTGTGTGTGTGTATTATACATTGTAGAAAAGGTGAAAAGTACAAAGAAAAAAAAAATCACTCAGTATTACCACCCAGAGCAAAGTACTTGAGATTTTCGCTTTCTGAAATGGCATGGAAGGGGCATGGAAGCCATCTCTCTCATCCCACAACACCAAAAAAAATAAAAAGGCTGAACAAACTGAAAAACAACAGCTTTCGACAGCTTTTCTTAGAGAACAGAGGTCATGGGGCAAACCAGTGCCCCATAACTGAAGACTCACACCGGCAGATACAGAGAATCACACCCTACTAGAGCAGAAGGCAAGGGGCAGAAAACTCATGGTACCAGGCTAGGAAAACCTAATCTGTAAGGAATGCATTGCTGGAGACTCAGTGTGGACAAGTTTGAGAGAAAACCTCCAGGGTGCACCCATCTTAGAAGGGCCCCCATTGAAAAATATGCCCCAGGTATTTAGTTATTAACAAGGTTGTCCTTAACAGAGACTTTTACCAGAAACTAACTGACCTGAAAGAAGGGAAATAAATACCCAACTCCATCCAGTACTCTCTAACCTTCCTGCCTCTCCTAAGAGGGAAAAAATGAAACAAAACTGAGAAGCACTTATAAAGATCACAGCCCAGGGACACAGGCTCACCCACAGACCATAGGATATAGAACATCCGCCCCCACCCCCAACCTTTCCCTTCCCCTTCCCACCACATCCACAGGGCTTCTGTGGAATAAGAAGGCAATATGAGAAGAACTGTGTGCACCTCAGGTGATTTTTTTAAAAACTCTGTGAAAACTGAAAGACAGCAAAGGAGAAATAAACACCATCAGAGGAAACTTTAGCCTCTGACCCTGTCGGATTCGAGTGTTTCAAACAGGGACGGTTTCGGTGGTGAGATGCCCAAGGGAAAAAAAGCGCATGGAACCCTTGCCATATATGCAGCAACTCTTTATTCAACAGAGGCTGAACCCAAAGCTGCAGAACTCAGTTAAACAGCAGCAGCAACAAAGGCAGAACAGTAGCAGAACCCGCACCCAGTTAAGCAGAACTGGGGTTTTTATAACGCAATCACAGTAGTGTCATGGTGACAGCACACATGTGCACTAAGAGCAACTCACATAAACAAGCTGTTTCCTTGCAGTCCCACCTGGGCCTGGGGGAGTCAGGACTGCCAGTCTCCAAAGCCTGTAAACATTTCCTGACCCTGGGGGGCCCTGACACCTGGGCCCCCACCGACCCTATAGCTACAATAAACAGTGAACAACCAAACATAAAACCTCACACTAAGCCATTTACCTCAGTTATTTTGACCTAATACATTATGTCCCATTTAACAAAAAATTACAAGGCAACTTAAAAAACAAGACACACATTGTGAAGAGACAGCAAACACAAGTATGGTAGAGATATTGGAATTATCAGACTGAGACTTTAAAACGACTGATTAATAGGCTAAGGGCTCTAATGAAAAAAGTGGACATGCAAGAACAGATGGGTAATGAATGCCAAGAGGTGGAAACTTAAAAGGAAATGCTAGGGCCGGCTGAGTGGCTCAGTTGGTTAAGAGCTCGCTCAAGAGTTTGAGCTCTGAGCAACAGCGGTTCGAGTCCCGGTCCAAGCTGAGCAGCTGCTGAGCTGCCAACAGGTGGCAGGATGGCTCAGCTAAAATAAAAAAGGAAATGCTAGAAATCAAAAACACCATAACTGAAATGAAGAATGCCTTTAGCAGTCTCAGTAGACTGGACACAGCCATGGAAAGAATCAGTGCACTTGAAGACATGTAATAGGAACTTCAAAAACTGAAATCTAAAGAGGAAGAAAAAAAAAATTAAAAGACAGAATAAGCACTGTGGGACAATTGCAAAATGTATAACATACATGTAATGAGAATACCAGAAAGAGAAAAAGGTAAAGAAATATTTGAAACAGTAATGACTGAGAATTTCTCCAAACTGGGAAACAAACTACAGAGTCGGGAAGGGAATCTCAGCGAAAACCAAGCAGGATAAATACCAAAAATCTACACATAAGGCATCTAGTCAAACTTCACAAAAAGGCACAAAAGGAATAATTGAAAAAAGCCAGAAGGGAGGCCAACCGAGTGATACGTTGGTTAAGAGTTGGCTTGGGATGCCAGCTCTGAGCAGCAGGGACCCGGTTTGGATCCCACATATGAGGGCCAGTGACACTGCCCTCTACAGCTAAGATGGTGAAAAACAGCTCGACCTGGAGCTGAGCTGCCATGAGTCACCGGCGACGGTGTAGACTGCAGCCCCTGCTGCAGCGGGCTGCCATAAGCCACCGTGAGTGACCAGCAGCCGGTGTGAGCTGCCAAGAGCCACTGTGAGCAGCCATCCAATGGCTGGCAACCGATCTGCCTCATCTGGGAAGAACACAATGATAACACCAACCTGGGCCAGTGAAGCGACGTCCTCCACAACTAGACTGAAGAAGAAAAGGACAGCATCTTGGTCTGTTCCCCTTCCCCAGTTCCCCAACGCTGTTCCCCTCCCCCAATTCCCCAATAAAATCTTAAAAAAAAAAAAAACGCCAGAAGGGGATAATTGCTTACCTATAGAGGAGTAAGGATAAGAATTACAGCCAATTTATCCTCAGAAACTGTGCAAGCAAGAAGAGAGTGGAGTGAACAATTTGAAGAAAAAATAAAACCCTACCACCTTGGAGTTCTGTCTTCTATGAAATCATCCTTTAAGAGTAAAGGAGAACTACTTTCTGAGACAAAGAAAAATTGAGGGAGTAGACCTGCCTTGCAAGAAATGTTAAAAGAAGTTCATTAGGGAAAAGGGAAATAATATGGATCAGAAACTTGGCTTTACATGAAGAAAGGAAGCGTATTGGAGAAGGAATAAATGAAGTTAAAATAAAAAATTATTACTTTTATTCTTAATTGATAAAACAGGTAAAGTTTGTTAAAAAATAACATCCCATGATTATATCTTGTAGTTAAGTGAAATGCATGACAATATCATAAGGGTTGGGAGGAGGGAATGGAAATATGTTTTATAAGATGCTTGCACCACCCGTGTAGTGGTATAGTGTTATCTGAAAATGAACTTACATTAATTGTAAATGTGTATTGCTAATTCAAAGGCAGACACTAAAAAGTGCAATTTTAAAAAGCATAATTGAAATTCTAAGAGAGGAGGAAAGAAATGGAATCATACAAAATACTTGAAGGCAGAAGAAGAGTGGGAGACAAGAAACAAAGAACAAGGACCAAAAACAAAACAGTATCAATTATGGTAGCTAACAGTCCAACTATATCAATAATCACTTGAAACATCCGTGGTTGAAATGCACCAATTAGAATACAGATATTGTCACAGTGGACCAAAAGACAAAACCTAACCTTTTGTTGTCTACAAGGAACCCATTTAGTTGCATGTGGAAAGCACTTGTTGAGAAAGCAGAGTACCCACACTTGCCGCTGTCACTGATCTTTGTAAAATGGTGAGTGCTGCTGTGGATGTTCCAAGAAAGCATCCCTGGGCTGCTCAGGAAATTTCCTCAGCCTGGCAGCTCTCTAGGGAAGCCCGTCAAGGTGACACCAGCTTTCCGTTGCCTCTCTGTGGTAAGGTTATGAGTTTATTGTTGGTGGAGGTTTAATAGAAACACCACGATTTTCCTGAGTAGGTTTTTGAGTAGGTTTGGCATGTTGAATACTTGGAAGGGAGTGTGACCCTGAGGCTAAACTCTCCCAGAGAAGGACAGCCTGATAGTAATAATAATTCACGTGTAAGTAATTCCAGAGAATTCATATTTATTCCAGCACTTTTTAGGCTGGTTGATGTGGAGAAACAATAGAACTCCATTTAAGAACTTTGAATATTACACTGATTCAAGTCTAGGCCCCATATATAAATACTACTTCCAGAAAAGGGCTAGCATAATAATTATAAGGCATGATATGGTTTCTTTGTCCTAGAACAGTGTTAAGGGATTGTACTAGATTTGCAGAGCACAATGTAATCAATGTGTCTAATTCTGAGCATGCTTTCCTTCAGTTTGCATCAGCCCATAGGACCTTACACAATTCCTTCAGTCTCTCTAGGAGCATTTCTTGAGACTCCACGTCCTTAATAAACAACCTAAATAGGGAGGGTTTCACTAGGATCAAAGACAGTTTCTATTGCTTTCAAAGTCTAGTCCCAGTTTTCAGCCTGTGACTCTCCCTGATGATCTTCCTTCATGGAATGTACTGCGGGCATCCCAGGCCAGATGCTCTGCTCAGTGCTGGGGAGAAAGCCAAGGAAGAGCTAGGCTCCAGTACCTGTCCACCTCTCCCTTACGACCAGGAACCCTCACTGCCCACTCTGCCACCCTTACTCCCTCCTCCATGGCTAATGGTTATACCCAGTTTAACACCCCTGCAGGGGGATGCCGTCACCCACTAAGTGCCAAATTCTTTGGCCTGCTTTAGAAGGTTGAGCAAGTACAAACCACAGCATCTCCCCTTGGTTCAGGATGCATGGGAATCACAACTTGGACTTGATTCTAAGTTGTTGCCTTTCTGTTTACTCCCAAACCAGAAAGCACACAA